AGAGAGAGAGAGAGAGAGAATCGGGGTAAACACAAAAATACACAAACTAATCCAGCTATAAAATACATTAAACATGTTTATAAAAATTCAACACAAATACACCGTTCAATTCAAAATCACAATTAAAATAATACAAAACGAATGACACAAACAAATAAAAACTAAAACCTATAAAATGATTAAAAGTCTGTTTAAAAGTTATAATTAAATTACAATTATAAACAAACGCTTGGATTCATTGGGTGTCAGCGAATCAATTAATTTCATACATACAGTCAGTCCACGATATAAACAGACTATTAATGAATGAATATTAACTGCTATTCTAATACACATATTGAGTAAAATTTAAAAATCAAAAACTTCATTGTAATGAGTGGTACACTAATTGGAAAAACATATATGAAATCAATTAATTATAATTAATTAAGAAATAGATGTATTGAATACACATTTATGTATAATATATATAATAATAATATCAATGGTATATATAATTGTCATTACAATAGGTTTTGAATGTTGTGTTTAAATTGTATTTCATTTATAATAATATTATTAATTAAAACTGTTTTTTTCGTTTATAATGTTTGAAATGTATTAAAACTAAAATTATAATAATTAAATCAAATTATAATAAACGAGTTTAAATAAATTGCTTATAATGTATATAAAGTATGTATTATGTAATCATAGTTTAGGAATAGAAAAACATTGAATAATTAAAGGGACAGTAAATTAAATAAAAAACGGGGGACAAGTGGTTAACACTACCAGAACAAAAACAATGTTTACCATGTTGTGTCTGTTATATGTAAATGTAATTCTAAATCGAAATTTTTAGTAATAATTATAAGAAAAAAATGTGACGACAAGAGAGAGACAGAGAGAGAAAATACAGGTGTGTTTGGCGTATGGGTTGCGAAAAAACATAGATAGATAGAGAGTGGCGGTAGAGTGACCACCAGATTATCGGGTGTTAAAAGTGTGGCCACACAAACAGATGGCCCCCTTGAATACGGCGGCAGTACTATTAAGCCCTCTCTCCTCGAATACGACGGGCCAACTGGATATCCTTCGGCATAATAGTGACCCGTTTGGCGTGAATGGCGCACAGATTGGTGTCCTCGAACAGGCCCACTAAGTACGCCTCCGAGGCCTCCTGTGTATCGCGTGACCCAAAAATAAAATCAAAAAAAAATTAATAATCAATAATAAATCATAAATATTATCAGTCAATAAATATATAATAATCAATAGAAACAGTTTCGCAATCAAGGGTTCAATAGTATTGATTGACAGAAAGTGAAATTTAGGTCGACGTTATTGATGGACACTCTCATTCACCAGCCGTTGTGAGTGCACTGCTGTGCGCTGTCAGGCGATGGGTGTGTCCGTCAAAAACGTTCGTAAATTACATTACATAACAAAAACAGGACATAAATCGCGATTAAATCCGTATAAAAATTACACGTATTTAAACACTAAACGAAAACATAACGTTTAACACCGGGAGAGAGGGATAGGGAGAGTCATAGACTTGACACGGGGGAGAGAGCGTGAGTAGAAACACAATAGAGACAAATGTCATGTACAGGGGTGGCGGCCTAAGAGACACCACTACTCAATGCTGACCAACACTACAGCGAAGCCGTACCTGAAGGGCGCCGATAGCGGCCGACTGGAACCGCAGGTCAGTCTTGAAGTCCTGAGCGATCTCGCGGACCAACCGCTGGAAAGGTAACTTCCGGATCAGCAACTCTGTTGACTTTTGGTAGCGACGAATCTCACGCAAGGCAACGGTTCCGGGCCTATAACGATGGGGTTTCTTCACGCCTCCCGTAGAGGGGGCCGACTTTCGGGCCGCTTTGGTGGCCAACTGTTTACGGGGGGCTTTGCCTCCGGTCGACTTACGGGCGGTCTGTTTCGTACGGGCCATGATTTTTGTATTATTAACTGATGTAGGTTGAGCTTAATAATAGTGTGTATGTGTTATGGTATGGTATAGTATTTTTTGTACGTACAAAGGCTATGGCAGTGTTGGTTATTTTATTATTGCTATTCAGAGTTGCACTCTTACTCACTCATTCAACGCACACACACGCTATATATGCACTCACACACTGCTGTCACACGCAACACACACACGCACACACACCAGCAATGGCCGCACTGACTAATGGGTTCAACTCCCTGATGTGTGCGCCCTGATTGGTCCTTTGAACGCCGCCTGCGATTGGCTGTCACGAGGTCTATACGTATTGAGTGCGTTGTGGTGTACGTGTGCTGTGCTGTGGCTGTGCTGTAGAGTACAGTGCAGTGTATGTGTAATGTATGTGTGGTTTGGATCCCATGTAATTCAACGGTGTTTTACAATACTCTATGTGTCGAGCAATGAGTGAACGCTACGAATGCCTACGTATGTTAGCGACAATAGAAACTGATAGCCCCTGTGGCCTAATGGATAAGGCATCGGTCTCCTAAACCGGGGATTGCGGGTTCGAGTCCCGCCAGGGGTACTGTGTTTTTTGTTTTATTTTTTTTGTGAATCCATGATTAGTAATCATTGATTACTTAATTCGTTGGAGTTTACTTTTTTTTGCATTTATTGTGTGTTATTTTGTATTTAATTGTAATTTTATTTTATAAATAGCAGTGGTATTTGTTTATAAACTAATTTTAATATTATTAACTAGCAAAAATTATTTATTAATATATAAGTATACTATAATTTTTATTTAATTTTAATTAACAATTTAACAAAATATATAAAATAGTTAATTGAGTTATTTACTCTTAAACCTACGCTCTCCATAAACAAATAACTATTTTAGATAGTTTATATTTATTAAATAATTAATTAATTGTTACAATTCTTATGAATTTGTATGCAAATGAGTTGAAAACATTTAAAACAACTAATATATTGTTAAAACAATTTAAACAAATGCAAATTGTCAATTGTAGCGATTTAAAATTAATTAACCTAGGCTACTTAATCAGTTCTAAAAACTGTAATAATTATTAATTTTACTTTAAAAGTAATATCTATTTTACAATTACTATGAAATATTGGGGTAATGTACTGTATATTGTGATTTATAATAAGTTTTCTAAATATTTTTAATTGCTACACTATAATTTTTTATTTATAATATTTTTCTGGGAATTGATCCAGATTGATTAATACTTATTTTATAAAATTAATTTACACAATATCATATGACTTATAATCGAGTAATTAAGCGTATACTGGAAGTAAATAATCAATTGACAGTTAAAACTATGCACATGATAAACATGTTTGGGTTGCATAACAATTATGATTAAAAATTGCATTCTTTCTTAGAATTCATTGACATTTAACTATCATTTATTCATAAACCTATTGACAGGAAATTTTGCAATTAATACACAACTTTATTGTTATGGTTACTAACAACCATAGTAATAATCATCTTGCTCACATCACTACATTCTTCCATTACCAGTACTGCAAACATTTTACAAACAATAACTAATAATATACGCTAATAGTAAACTATTTAGCAAGATAATAATTTTAGTTATAAAGGAACATTATAACAATATTTGAGTTAGTGCGTTTAAGTTTACCATGGACAAATTTGACATAATTGAGTTATTAGCACGTGGTCCACTAACCGGTGCCGGTGTATGGAAAGTGCAACAAAAACAAACCGGCTCATTCTGGTCGACCAATAGCCGGCCAAAACAATTTGCTATTAAACAGGCTGCCATTAAATCACCGGATGATCCTGATAGTATATTTAATAATAATTATACAGTATTTTAGTTATTAAAACTAATTAAATCTAATTTTAATTTTATTTATGCAGAAAATTATAGCCCATTGAACGAAATTGATATAATGTTGCAATTAAGCAACAAGGCCAGAATTGTCCACCTGTACGATAATTGGCAGCATGGTGATTATGTGTACATGAAATACGAGCTATGCGATTTTAGTTTGGCCCAAGTGTTTAATGTTAAAGGGTTTGAGCTGAGTGGCAGGGGTAATGTTTTTACCAGAGATGCCCATGGTCATGTCGGTCTGATTGAGTTTGTAACATGTTGCTATTTTTATCGGGAGATTATTAAATGTCTAGCAGTGGTGCATGATGCAAACCCTCAAATTACATATGGTAATTTGCGTTTGGATAACTTTTTGGTCAAGTTTGTTGACCGCCGAAGGTTGGTAGTTAAGCTTGCTGATTTTAGCAAATCATCAAGGGTGTGTATTATTTAATTTGTAATTTGTTATTATAATAATAATAATATAAATAATATTTGTGTTGTTTATTTTTTAAATGTTTAATTATTTAATAGATAATTATACAGAATTAATTTAAAAATAAAATTTTAAATTACCATTTAGACAAGGCAGAATAGTTTGATAGTTTATAAATTATAATTGAAAATTCACTGGACACTATAAATCAATTTTAATATAGTAATTAAAAAAATAAATTTTAAATTCAATTCAATTGTATGCAAAAGTTAAAAATAAGTTCAATTAATTGTTTGTAACAATTATAAAATATAAATCATAAATATTAGCATAGCAAAATATAAATATAATGGTTTAGATCTAAAAAATAATTAATAAACTTAAAATTTACTGAATTTGTTATAAACTGCACAAAAATATATAATAGTTTTTTACATTAAATCATTATTAAAAAAGTAATTTAATTTCGGTCTGTAAATAATGTTAATACTTTAATTATTATATATCAATTTATTAAACAATAATAATAACTCAAATTTTTACCTAGGTAATCAACTCTAGGGCTACAAAACAAATAAATGATTTTTATAATTTGGGCATGATCATGATGCAATTATTTGATATACACGACGGAAAGTAATTATGAACAATTACACAACTATAATCAATTAATAACTTACACTATAATTAATTATGTAGCGCAAGCATACATTTAAACAACCCTGATGATAAAATACGGATCGCATACGAGAGAATTTGGCGCATAATTGAGGATTTAATTGATCATGGCAACAAGGACAATTTATGGACCTGTAGTACATTGTTAACAGATGCTAACACGTGGTGTATTGACGCTCAAAATGTGATTGATGCCGGTGCATTTCATCGTGACCAGATTCGTGACCATGGTCATGTGGTTGATCAGTGCCTAAAGCGCATATTTAATTACCGTGATTGGTCTGATGTGGTCAGTGATATAGTGACTGATCTAACTAAGCAATATGGTAATGGTGCTGATGTTATTGGCCAAGTTGTCCTAGCTGAACTTAATTGTGCTGTTTATTGACTATAGCAGTTTGTATATTAAGTATTGATTATAAGTAATCAAGGACGATTATTAAATTAACAAATCAAACTTTATAAAATAGCTTT